CCCCCCCCCCCTTTTACACACCACACAGTGAAATCAAAGACATTACTGGCCACGGAACTAGATAAAGCCGTGCCATTCCCCGTGCCATTCACCAACCACTTCCCTCCCTCCCTCCCTCTCACCCTCCCCCACCCATCATAAAAAACAAAATTATCACTTTTAACAGAACTGGAGACGTCTATGTCTCTCCCTACCTCCTTCTCTCCCACCCTCCCTCTCTCTCCCTCCCCCCTCCCTTGTTCCCGCCCTACCCCCGCCCTTCTTTCCTCACTCTCTCCCTAACTCAACCCCACAGTGATATCAAATATATTACTACCCACAGAGCTAGAGACATCTACATCTCTCCCTACACCCCTCTCTTCTGCCCTCCCTGCACCTTTCGCTCAATCAAACCCGCCCTCCCTCCCTCCCTCCTTCATACCCTCCCTCCCTCATACCCTCCTTTACTCACCCTACGGTGATATCAAAGATATTACTGCCCACAGAACTCGATACAGCCATGTCTCCAAATCCTTTCTTTGCCACAATGACACTAGTGATGAGGTCAGGAATGCTGGTGCCCGCCGCCAGAATAGTTAGACCCATCACCTGAGGAACATACATCAAAAGGAAAATGTTTTTAACTAGAAAAGAGCAATCACAAAGAGCAAAAATCATAACAGCATGAGGCTTATTCACCAATCAAAAATGCTGTGTCTAAGAGAGAAGCCCTCAAGCTGCACACACCCACAGGTGAAAATGAAGCTTTTTAATGCTCAAAATGTGGCAAACTCTTCTCTTCTCCACCATAATTGGTCTTATTGGCTAAAGCAGAGGCCACAAGTCATCTTAATCTTTACTGCTTCTATTTCTCTTCAAGAAATATTTTCCTCTACAGACGCACTGGCCAGACACTGTTGGATGAACTGTCATGATAATAGAAAACACCGAAAAGACTTTTATCCTACGGTGAAGGATAATACTACTATTATAATAATACACGACTATGTTGTCCCTCCAGCTGCTTTTGATCTGACTCATCAGCAGGGTCTAATCCACGCAGCCTGCTCAAAGATAAAAAGTTCACAATTGACAAGGGTGGGGAGGATGGAGAGAGAGTGTGGGAGGCATATCCTAGTGAGAGAGAGAGAGAGAGAGAGGGGGGGGGCGAGATACACTTATATATAAGAGTAGAGAATTAGGATGAGAGCGAAAGAGAGAGAGAGAGAGAGAGAGAGAGAGAGAGAGAGAGAGAGAGAGAGAGA